GTGGTCCTTGGCCACTGCACGGTGCCGCCCGGTTTCAGGCTGGATTTCAGGTTTGTGGTCCCCTGGGGCCTGCCGGAGGCTGGAGGCTTTGTGGGAGATCTTTTCATTTGGGGGGGTCTGCTGGAGGGCTTAAAACTTCCCCCTGGAAGCATGTTGGGCGGCTTTCCTGTGGGTCCCCTTCCCGTGATCGTGTTTTCCTTGTTTGCCCCTGGTTTTTTATGGAGCAAATTAGTAGAAGCACTAAGTAACCGAGGGGGCTGCAACGGCTGAGTTTTGACATTTGGTTTTTGAGATGCACTCTTTGAGCCTGGCAAGGTTTTCCTGAATTTATCCTGAATCTGCTCCTCCTTAGCCTGGTGGCTATTAATTCTGTCCTTTGGGCCCGTGACGGTTCTGGACATCGTGGCTGAGCCCTGCCTGGGAGCCAAGACCCTCTTGTTCCCGAGATTGTTTCCACCAGACTGGGAAGCTCTGTTCAGCACAGGGTGTGCAGAGGCTTGTGCTCTGATATTTTCTTTGTTGCAGCGCAGCCTGTCCTGCAGGCCCTCATGCAGGGAGCGAGGTGCCCCAGGAGCGAGGGGGTCGCTTCCAGCTGGAGGTGCTGCAGCAGTGACAGTCTCCTGTGCAGGCTTCTTGCTCCTTTCTGGATTTAGGTGACCAGAGCTGTCAGTTGGGAGCCTCCCTCTGGGCTGTGTGGAGTGGCTTGTGCTCGGCATGAGCCCCACGGGAAGCTTTGCGCTCTTCCTCGGCTGCTCCGGATGCACCACTGCTGCTCTCTGGGATGTATTTGAAGACTTCTGCTGAGCGGGCGGCGTGGCCAGCATGCTGCGTGTATTTGGCACCAAGCCTGCCATCCCTCTGAGCACCCTTCACCACGTTTTTGAGAACATCCTTCTTGTTCCGGTCAACCTGGAGAGACAAAGCGAATCTCAGCCCCGAGCAGAGCTCTGCTTGGTTAAACCGTGACAGCTCGCTCCTGTCCCAGCCCTGCTGGCCCCGGGGACATCCACGCCAAGGCCCGTGGTGACAAAGCAGCTGTCAACAGAACAATAATGCAATACCCACCAGCACATGGGCAGAGGATGAGTGTCCCACACTGAGTTCCTCTGAAAAATAACGAGGGGAC